TCAACTGTACAGTAAATATAATTCTAACTGAAAGCTACAATGAGACTTCATGCTTACAGTCCATGTGAAATAAAATTTTTAAATATTTTGCTAGTGCAAATTATTATTATTTAGGTGAATAATTAATCTGTTCAAGTCAATCCACTGAAGAAAACATGTTTGTTAAGGTAAACTTCAATCAAAGTTTGACCATTTGCTTACATGTTTGGAGTGGCAGTCCTTCTCTGTTGCCGTCAATTTGACGGCTTCAGCAACAATAGTATTAAAGCACGCTCCTTTTACTGCAAGTATATAAGAGAATGATAGACAAAAAGAAAGCCCTGCCCCCTACTAAATATTCCATCTCAGTTGAAAATACTCTAACATACTGAAGGAAAAGTCTCAGCATCGTCCGGTGCATGCTAAAATTAATATTATAAAGCTGCTCGCTTTAAAGCAATCTATTGCATTATTGTGCTTCAGAAATAAACATCACATGAGTTGACTAGCTGAAGAGCTCATGGAAATATCTGCATTGCTAGTTTTAGATGCTTTCTTAACTGTATACCTTCTGTTGTGGGTCGATTTTCATACCCAGTAAAAAAAATCTGCATTTATATTATGCTGCACGATATTGGAAAAATCTGACATTGCGATATTTTGTTTTGCTGTGATGTAGATTGCGATATGAATACAATTTCACCATATAGCTTGAATAGCTCTATTTGTAAAAAAAAGAAATCATTTATTTGGATTGGTTGGGTTGATTTTGTAAGAGTGTGAATCATGTAGAAAAAGTACAATTGCAAGATTAATTACAATAGAGCAAAGAAACAAGTAAAAAACAGTTCTTTATGTTTTTTTCAGAGAGTCAAACAGTATTCAGATACAGAAACGTTATACGGCAATGTTAAATAACACTTTATAGTCTTCATTGTATTAATAATTCAGTAACATTTCTATTCATTAAAGTTACAAATGTTTTACGTTATTGTGCTGGATGCTTTCCGCTTTCTTGAAATTCCTTTAAAGTGCATGCAAATGATAAAGTTTCACTTTGTTATATATTGCAATGACTCAACAAATCTCATGTATACTCTATTGTTGATCGACTATAATACCAATTTAACATGGCAAATGCTGCGATGTGACTATTGTGAACACACACACTGCAATATCGTTGATGAAACAATATATAGTGCAGCCCTAATTTATATACATCAATTATTTGGCAGCAAAAAAACAGCAATTTTTTTTATATTGTCGTCACCTAACCATTTCAGCTCTGGACTGGACAAGTTACAAGACAAATTTAAGCCTGTGTCACCAGTGGTTATCAGCTAATTCAGCCAAACATTTTGAGTTTTCAGCAGTAGCAGTAACGAATAAAAAAATGTGGGTAGTTTTAACCCAATGTTAGGTAAAACTACTAGGTTAGAGTTATTTAAAAATTAATTGAACAATTTAACTCAGTTTCTAAGTTGGTCCATATTTTACCCGAAACTGGGTTGAAAACAATTATTTTTATAGTGTATATTCTTGGTATTTTTGTATATTTGAGCAATAATTGTTTTAACTATAAGCTGTAAAAGATATGGATGTAGTATCCGTGACATCACCCATAGGTTTCTGAAGAGCGCAAAAGAAGCTACAGGTGGGCGTGGCCATCCGGCACCAACTTGTTTGCGCGTCATCGCACCCAAATAGGGGCAAAGAGGATGAGCATGAGCAGAGCTACAAATGCCTTCTAGCATTTTGCTTAGACAGGCTTTTTTGGTAGAAACGTTTAATACTTTATTACCTGCGACTCATTTGTGTTCTGACCACATGTACTTGGTTGTGTACTATATTAATAAAGTGTTAAGTCTTTAAAAACACTGTTGTAATACTTTGAGCCACAAAACATCATTGTTATGAAGTTTTTCTACAGGAGGAAATTGCAAAAAACTTCCAAATACTTCAAATATAGTCTGTGTTAGTAAATACAAGGCTATTTATGAAATCCAGTATAACACTATATGACAGTTTCAGAAGAGTTCAAGAGCCTACAGCTAATCAATCTGTAGGATTCTGGAGTGCATTGCAGGTCTAAAGAAAATTATAAATGATAAATGACGTTAAATAAAACAAATACATTTATAGAGATGATATATAAGAAATAATTTCACTCACTTGGGAAATAGAGGCCACGTGAACGGTTTGTGAGCACAATAAAGTTCACACAGCATGCCATAATATCTGATAATTGTAAAAAATAATTCCAAAAAGCAATTGACTGTCTAAAAGCCACATAAAACAAAACAAAAAATACAATGTATATGCCGAGCTCAGTGGCTTATCAGCCGAAATCAGCTGAGGTGATAATACAACTTACATAACTTAACTTAAACGGAAACTTAAACGGATGAGTTATTTATATATATATATATCAATGAATTTCAATGAATTGCAGTTTTAGTTACTTCTGTAATAGCTTCACGAGGGTGAGCATCCTTTTAAATGGGGATTGATTCAATCCATTTTTTTGTTTACTAATACAAATATTGTTTTGTTTTCAACATTTAAAAAATAACACTGAAGTGACACTGTTGTTTATACAGTGCAGAGAATTATTATATTTTTTGCCAAACTATTTAAAAGGAACAATGTACAAAAGCACATCCAGGAGAGCAGAATCAATGTCATAAACTCAAGTCATCATTGATTTTCATCTGGATCCCACTTTTAACATGTCTGCTAAACAAATGCTTAACAAAGACGCAAAGCAGCTGAGCCAAATATCAGTCATATTCACATCCAACAGCAAAACTACAAGAGGCATTTTCCAAATTTTAGCACAATCAACATGCTTTGGTCTTTCTTGCTCATTTTTTATCCTCTTTAGTGATCAAAGTATTTTAAGTATCTTAAGTATCAAGTATTTCCCAGGGATGGGTTGGGCTGGAAGGGCATCCGCTGCGCAAAAACTTGCTGGATAAGTTGGTGGTTCATTCCGCTGTGGTGACCCCGGAATAAAGAAGGGACTGAGCCGACAAGAAAATGAATGAATGAAGTAATGATAATTAAAAGCATAATACAGAATAAGAATGACAGCATTCTCTCAAATTAAATAAACCTTGAGTTAACTGAATTTGCAACGTCTGTACAGACAAGCACATTGATATTTTCATAAAAAAGTAAACATCTAGTTTCAGTTATGTGGTTTAAGTACTTCATTTAACTGCGTACTGAAAATCACGAGACCAGATAACGACAGTCAAATAATGTTAAACGAGAATCAATTTTCCTTACCACTGCATGCAAGTACTATCAGTCCTCCACTGTTTAACACAGACCAGATTTGCAGTTTCTCACACACTCTACGATGCTTAACATGCACAGATAAGTTCTAATGGTTTGAGGGGCTGGAGTGACATCAGAGCACATGCATGACCTGTACTCGATGTCATCAGATAGCGCTCCTTCATTTCCTCTGTCTATCTGGGGGAAGTACATATAAAGTCTGCTTCACAGATTCACAGATGAGTGATTCACAGATAGCTTATGTTGGCATATGAAAGAACGAGACGAGAAAAACCACACAAAGAACAGTCATGGCTAAAGCATAAATGCACAGCATAAAGCACAGACCATACAGATATTCAGAGGCATAATGAATGCACAGACACAGTCACATTGCCAAAGGGTGATTATGAAAGTCATGCGAGTCGTATGATACCATTATGATCATCTGTGAGTCTCCTTTGAAATGGTTGGGTGAAAAATAATTGTTTTAGGCAGTTTTAATCGGGATAATCACTCGCTTTTTCACAAAAGTATACCTGAAGAATTTTGTTTGAGAAATGCAATAGTGGTTGATTTGGTTGAATGCCTGATTCTGATTGGCTGTTGAACATTCTAAGGTGTGCCATTATTTTCAAGGAACTGCACAATCAAAGTAGTTCCAGGCAGATTTTCAACTGTTTTACATAAGGGATAATGTAGATCCAGCCGGTTGTTGTCTGCCTGTCTGTCTGTCTAATAATTCGTCCATCCATCCATCCATCCATCCATCCATCCATCCATCCATCCATCCATCCATTTTATAGTGAACAATATTTATTATTGTAGATTAGTATCATTTATTAGAATTAGTCTTCCCCTATTAGTGTGTATGAAAATGAAAGCAGACACAATTCAACAAAATAGCAGCAGCTTTTTTTATAGGTCACAAAGGAAACAAACTTTACAACAAAGAACTGCCACTGACCCTAGTACATAAAGAAAACGTACCAAATAATATTTTTAGTTTATTAAATACTTGCCTATAGTAGTGCAAAAAATAGGCGTATTGCCCTTGAACTTTTGGGCAATTTTTGACGATTTTGTGATTCCACAAAAAAACATTCGAGGAATCCGATTGTCACAAACCAATTGAGTTAAAAAACTAATCTATATGAGTACTGTGAACTTACTCCATTTAAGTTGAAGTAATAAGGTATTTAATTAACTCATTACTTTCAACACTGAGTTCAAAACTTAACTACACTCATTTCATTTGATGAAGTTGATTGTGGGGTTTTACAGTGCAAGGTAAATGCTGCTCCATCTGAAAGCATGTGCTACGAGTTTACTAGAAGTGGCCTACTGATAAAATGCACATAAAAATAACAATAAAATAAAAAAATACATAAAAAATTACCCAGCCCAAGATCATAGGCGCTATAATTTGTGTGCTGCTTTTTAAAATGCTTTTATAAAGCCATTTGTAAAGCTCAGCAGTGTGCATGGATGCAAAACAATGTATTTGCCTTTCAAGGATGAAAGAAACTCATACTGGTTTGGAATTGCATGGGAACAAGTAAATGATGACAGAATTTACATTTTGGGTGAGCTATTGCACCTTCAAAATGTTTATCAAACAAACTAAACTGGCTTCTTTTCTAAACGCATCTTTCTGGCTAAATAGTGTCTCCTTTATCGTTGCATGGCTATGATAGCGGAGAGGGTGTTCAGAGCTCTACAAGCACTAATGAACTGACCTTGGACTGCCTCCAATGCCAGGGTTCTGTGATGACGTCCGACGCTTCATGTCTTAACTTTCGGATGAAGAGGGGGAGAAAGGGAGGAAGAAGAAGATAGACAGAGAGAAAAAGAGAGAAAGTTAGTAAAGAGAAGTGTTAAAGCAGAAGACATAAGCATAACAAGCATGCTAGATGTGTTAGACTCGTACATTTTGCTTTTAGAGAACATAAGAAAAGCTACAGGGAAATGTAATTATTTGCAAGCACACTGCTTTTGTTGAACTAAATAGTTTAAATGCATAGTGTGAATTAGATTAACATATAAGAATTTTGAAACTGATAATATATCTAGGATGATACTTTAAGATTATGGTCATGATGAACCTTGAGTGAATAATGCACATTTTCTGTAGTCAATTGTGGGTATGTTTGCAGTGCTTCCCAGGTTTGAAATACTTGCGGTGGTTACTGAATTGAAACACACCTTTTACACATGGAACATGGTTACCTACATGTGACAAAAAAGTGATTTTTAACAATATTTTATTTATTATACTGTGTCTTTTCGATGGGTTGAAGTTTTTTTTTAAGTTGAATTAAAAAAAGAAAGTCCTCTATTTGTTTTACTTTTATATAGGAGCCATGTGCACCCACTGACAGGTAAAATCAGCTGCTGACATTTTGTACAGCATTGCAAAAGCATGTTAGATATATATAAAATATGTAATAAATCAACATCATCATCATCAATTGAAGAAATATACAGCAAATGTTAAATAATGTTAAAGGCAGGTCAGGGTAATTAGGCAAGTTATTGTATAACGATGGTTTGTTCTGTAGACTATCAGAAAAAAAATTTAGCTTAAAGGGGGTAATAATTTTGACCTTAAAGTTGTGTTTAAAAAATTAAAAACACTTTTATTATAGCCAAAATAAAACAAATAGGACTTTCTCCCGAAAAAAAAATATTATCAGACATACTGTGAACATTTCCTAGCTCTGTTAAACATCATTTGGGAAATATTTAAAAAAGAAAAAATAGTTCAAAGGGGGACTTCAACTGTAAAAATATTGTTTAGTTTTCACCGTCAAAAATAATAAGTGAAAATTAAGAGATTTAGCTTGTTTTAAGGAAATTATCTGCCAGTGGGGTAAGTGAAATAATCTTGTTTTCAAAATGAAATGTGGATATTTGGACTAGAAACAAGACAAAAATTCTAAGTAAGAAATATTTTTTTGCATAAATCATATAAAGTCCATATAAATACAGTGATTAAATACAATTTAGTAGCTCATGGTCAACTATAATTCAGACTGGACATTGCATGTCTTTGTCACGTGACTATTGCGGATGCGCATATTGTGATATCAATGCTAAAACGATATATTGTGCAGCTCTAGTCAATATTAAAATTATAGTCAAAAATTGTATCAAATCAATGTAAACATGGTGGGTTCCACACAATCCCTTCACCTTGCCTGAATGCAAATCAATTAAGTTTACTTAATGGCTTTTACAATTTAAAGATTGAACATAAAACTATTAAGTTGTCACAAAAAAACTCAAGAATTGCGCTGTTTTAGCTTATTTTATATAAGTAGTTTATACAAGCAGTCAAATAATTTAAATGGCATTTAATTATAATAATGTATTAAATGTTGATGTTGATTTTAAGATTAGCTATTTAAGTATTTGTGTTTTTAAAGATGTACTTGTGAAAATGGGGAAAACTATCAACAGATATACAGTTAAAGTGAGAATTATTAGCCCCCCTTTTAATTTCTTTTTCTTTTTTTAAATATTTCCCAAATGATGTTTAACAGAGCAAGGACATTTTCACAGTGTGTCTGATAATATTTTTATTCTGGAGAAAGTCTCATTTGTTTAATTTTGGCAAGAATAAAGTCAGTTATTAATTGTTTAAACACCATTTTAAGGACAAAATTATTAGCCTCTTTAAGATAAAATCTTTTTCAAAAGTCTACAGAACAAACCATTGTTATACAATAACTTGCCTAATTACCCAAACCTGTCTAGTTAACCTAATTAACCTAGTTAAGCCTTTAAATGCACTTTAAGCTGTATAAAAGTGTCTTGAAAAAGATCTTGTCAATTATTATTCACTGTCATCATGGCAAAGATAAAATAAATCAGTTATTAGAAATGAGTTATTAAAACTATTATGTTTAGAAATGTGCTGAAAAAAATCTTCTCTACATTAAACAGAAATTGAAGAAAAAATTAAACAGGGGAGCTAATAATTCTGACTTCAACTGTATTTTATGGTACTTAGACTTATATTAATATCTCTCATTAAACTATATCATTACATTTTATTATGGGTACTAGCAGCTACCAATTTTAATTAAGCTGCCAGCTGCTAACATATTAAATCATATAGAATTATTATAAATAGATAAATCAACATAAAATCTTTTGGTGCAGCTCTGCCAGCCAGACATTAAATAAGAAAAATCTGAAAAAATGATGATTAGATCTTCATTCAATCTTCGATCTTCTGCAAATCTTCATTCATCATTCAACATCCTGGCAATCCAAGTCATCTTATGCAATACTGCGTTAGACCTGAGCTCCTCCATGGGGAACCACACATCAACAACGACTTTAATGTAGTGATGGACTCCCTCAAGTCACACCATCTGCTGAGCACCTCAAAGAAAATGTCAGAATAATGTTCTGCTCTCAGGCTGAAAGGACAGCAGTGCTTTCTCCGGACATTAGCTGAAGTGGACGACATATCTAACGAGAATGTAAATCAGGCGAAGAGTCTGTCCATTATGCCATTTGGTTCAGTGTGATGTCTAACCTAATGTAAAAAGGGCTCATCAAAATGCCTCTTCAGGTAATAAAATATGTAATATCAGGAATATATAATAACTACTCAGTCAAAAATGTAATAATTGTGTACTGTATAATTTTAAAAATACACTCAATTAATAATAACTATAAAAAAGATTACCGATGCTTGATCAAACTACGAGTTTAAAATGAGCTGAAACAAAACTGTTGTCATTTCGTTGGTCAGTTTATTTGTTTTCTGCTTAATCTGCTTAAATTTGTAAACCATTAACCTAATTGTTTTGTTTTGGGACAACATAAAATAGAGCTGCACGATTAATCGAAAAAAGATCTTGATCTCGATTTGACCTAACACATGATCATAATTTAGGGTGCTTTCACACCTAGACTTTTATTTCGAAACCTGTCTCGTTTGCCCAGTTAGCATGGTTCGTTTGGAGCAAAACTCTGCAAAATAAACTGTGAAACTCTGACCAATGTGAGGAGAGTTTACTCACACATGATTTGTTTTAGCTCTTTTGGTCCGTTTAGAAACTTTGCAGTGTGAAAGCGAACTGCATCAAGAGCAAAGAGCAACAATGTAACAATTTTAATCCCTGTTTCTGAACAACTGAATCGAATCACATGTGTGAAAGCACCCTTAGATATTCTACGATTCAGCCAATTATATTTTCAAGTTCAGGAGAGAAGCATAAAGGGGGTCGCACAAGTTTTCACATTTTAGCAACATTGACACCTCCAAATGGTCTTGAAAGTGTTATAATTCACCCATAAATGTCATTTCTGTCTTGATGCAATAACGTATTTGTGGCTGCAAAATCACATGTGAGCTGACACACTGTCTGTTTACTACTGAGAGGATGCGCGCGTGCTGCCAATGGCTAATGTGAACAGCATATGCTGTGAATAACAGGTAAAAAAGTTAAATAACAATCTAATTGTTGCACAGAACAATTGATTGGGAGCATTGCGAGTATGAAGTATGATTTACATGTATGTACATTTTTTTTCTTTCAAAGTGACAGCAGCCACGAGCAGCACTCGGCAGTGAAAGTGAAACCAAAAGTGTGCACATCATTATGATTACGTGTTGTCGGGACAACATGAAAGAATTAAGTTAACATATTAGTTTTTACAAATGTAAGTGGATTGAACATAAAACATTAGGTTATCCCCCCAAAACAACTCAAGATTAGTTTTATCTCATTGGTTTTAGCTCATTTTAACATTATTTTTTTGGAGTATATGCTGTGCGCGGGACTGAATTAAGAAAGGGAAATGTTGACAAAATTAATTTTAGCTGTTAAAAGTTAATAAAACTTTGGTTAGAGTTTAATCTTTACTTAGTTTGTAGATTTAGAAGGGTTTCATGTAATGTTTTGAGTTTTACTACCTTGCAAAAGCACTTTGGGTGTTGGCAGCTTATTTAGCAAAAATGCTGTTTGTTGCTGTTACGATCACCACTGATCTAGCCTATGCAGATCACTGAAGAGCTACACACACACACACACACACACACACCACATAAACTACTACTACCAGGATGCTTTGCACCAATTTCTCCTGCCTTAGCTTAAGGTCATTTAGAGACACGCACACACAGCTGGGGTTCATTCCCACTCATAACAAGACTATAATGTATATATCAGTTTGTGTTCTCTCGTTGTCTGTTGTTTTTTCTTATTTGTTGTTCTCATGATGTCCATGTGTTTCCTGCTCTGTTTTGTCTCAGGAAATAGATCAGATATAAATGGATAAAAATGTATTTTGCTCATGAACTTTATTTTGCAAAAATAAGTTAAAATATGCAATTCAAATAAGCTGAAATAAACCAATTAAAGTAAGCTGAAATAAATTCATTCAAATAAGATGAAATGACACGATTCAAATGTGTGGAAATGAGTGTCATAATTAAATTACATTACACCAAAAATTTATTTTCTTTAAGTGTAGAAAATGTAAGTGTGAAAAGATATCCTATTTCGCCAGAGATGGCAAATATTGTAATATTTTTGCAAAAGCATAGGAAAATGCTGTATAGTTTTCAGTATTGCAGAATTATTGACTACTTCGCTATTAGTTCTGTTACTGTTATTCAGTGTAAATTATTGTAGTTGGGATAGGTGGCTTAAGGCTAATTTATACTTCTATGTCGAGTGATCAGCGTGGCCCACAGCGCCTGCCTTGCGTGTAGTTGTGCATTTATACTTTTGTATGCTGTTTGTGTTGCTCTGCAAAAACACTTATGAAATGCTAGCTGGCAGTAGGGTTTTATTTAAGATTTCTGAATGCTACAAGTAGCTAAAAATCTCTCATTTACTTTAATCATAAGGTAAACACAAAACAAAAGATAACAATTGGAGCTCCTTGATAGGACTTGACATTTGTAAACACTCGCTCCATCGGGCCCGGGTTCGCCCTCATGATCACAAACATGCCAACGCTTGTCACTGCTAGTAAGCTGACTAATCACACAGCTTGTGCTACACATCGTTGCGAGGTATAGTTACATTTTTTGAGAGGTGCATGTCGGCATCAGCCACTGCGAGAGCTGCACCAGATCATACACATGTGCTTTACACATCAGCCTTTAGGTTTCATTATGAATTTATTGAAATGTGTGCTTTGTAATAACATATATTTTTGCATAAAAAAATATACTTCAAACTTAGAAGATAGTGTTCAATTTAAAATCCCCCCTCCCCCTCTACCCCCCAGGGTTCCGTTATGACAGTCTTTTTGTAAGTTTCTGCTCAATGTTTAGGATCTGCAAAAGTATTGATTTGGCACCAGTATCATAAAAACAAAATAACAAAAATGACAACAACAAAAAAACCTTTAGCGAACTTTAGCAATGACAGGGCATTACATTTTTGACCGTCTTCAAAGTTTTTAGTGATGAATCGCAATTGTTGGTAAGATTGTAAGTGTCTTTATTGCCATTTTTGATCAATTTAATGCTTCATTACTGAATGAAAGGAAAAAAAATCTTATAGGCAACAAATGTTTGAATGGCTGTCACACAATAATTAGCCGTTTTACCCTGCAGATTCTACAGGCAGAGCGAAACCCAGAGTAAACCACACTAAAAAGTTTAATAAACCAACTGCAGTCACCATTTGGCTCAATCAGCTGACAACGTTAGCTAAATTGGTGACCATTCCCATCTCATTCCCTAAATTATGTCTGAAGAGAAAGAACATCCTCGCCATTAGTTGACTCCCTTAACAATAAGCTCTTACATGGCAGTTTGTTGCAATGGGACAGCAAAAAACCGACACTGTGATTTATTCTGTGAACATTCATTTAAGATGCAAATTATCTTTTAAACACCACCTTCAGCACAGTACAGATAATAAGCATGCACTTTTGGGTTAGGTTGTGAAATCTACCAAAATGAGTGATCACATTTAAACACAGCTCCACATGAACAGGAATTTTATAAAATTGTACACAGCATTTTTATAGTTTCTGGTGAATTACACCAGTGGTTCCCAACCTGGGGTCCGCGCCCCCCTAAGGGGGGCGCCAGAGTTCACAGGGGGGGCGCGGGAGAGGATAAGTATTGAGGTAGAAAAAGGCATTAAAATGCTCCACTATTATAAAGGGCTTTGCAATTAATCGAAAATCCGATTTAGATTTCGGTTTCAAACGATTATAAAAAAGCATTAATTGAGATAATTGATTATTGCATCATATTTCGCCACAGTTTTACACGTGTTGCACTTAAAAGCGTGAAAGAGCTTATGTTTGTGTGCAGCACGATCACGCAGTCAGCAGCATATGCGGCCGGTCAACATTCACTCTCATTCACACACTGAGACGAGCAGAGGAGTGCAGACATCTAAAGTCATCTTAACGTGAACGCTTTAATGGTGAAATAGGTGTCAAAACGCGGTGTTTAGTGATTATTTACATTAACCCTCATTTGTGTAATAAACAAACGAGTTGAGGATCAAAAGACGTGAAAGAGAAACCATTAAAGAGACAGTGCGCTATAATCCTTCTGCCGGCTGTTTTTATTATTATTAAACAAACATAACGAGAAAACCTTTGCTGCTCTTGACTGAAGGAATGCTGTAGCTAAAGTTTTTTTTTTCTTACAGTGAAGATGCTTAAAGCACAGTTTGTTTCATATTTTTATTCTATTGTATTTATTTCTCTTTCCTTTGCAGGGTGGAAAATAACTGTATGCATACAGTTGAAGTCAGAATTATTAGCCCTCTTGAATATAAGCAAACCTTTTCATGGAAAGAGTTTTTTATTAACTTATTTCTGAACATAATAGTTTTGATATCTCATTTCTAATTACTGATTTCTTTTTGTCTTTGCTATAATGACAGCACATAATATTTTACTAGATATTTTTCAAAATACAAGCATTCAGATTAAAGTGCAGTTCAAAGGCTTAATTAGAGTAATAAGGCAAGTCATTATAAGGGTAGTTTAATCTGCAGACAATCAAAAATATATATTGCTTAAGGGGGCTAATAATATTGACCCTAAATTAGTTTTAAAATAATTAAACCAGTCTTTATTCTAGCTAAAATAAAACAAATAGAAGAAAAAATATTATAGGAAATACTGTTAAAATTCCTTGCCCTGTTAAACATAATTTGGAAAATATTTATAAAAAAAAAAAAAAAAAATCTCAGGAGCGCTAATAATTTTGACTTTAACTGGCAATGGTTTTGAATAATCGTGATTACAATTATGACCAAAATAATCGTGATAATGATTTTTCCCAAAATCGAGCTATTATATATGTATTTTTAAGTACCAAAAAATAAAAAATAATCTAAACACATGCGTAAAATTCCAACATAATAGTGGAAATAATTAAAATAAATAACTTTAAATAATTATTTAAATTTTGCTCTTTCGCGCAATCTGCTTGTCAATGTGTCGTAAAGGCTAAATCAAAACAAAAATGGCAGACAAATGTAAATGCAGTGATTCTTCAGAGGCAAAGAAAAAGATTAGACAGTATGACAAAGCCTACCTAAATTTTGGTTTTATTGAAGGCCAAGACAAGTTAAAACGGATTAATTAATATTTTTTATAGATATTACTATATATTAATATTACACAAACACACACACACACACACACACACACACACACACACACACACACACACACACACACACACACACACACACACACACACACATATATATATATATATATATACATACACAGTACATATGTGTGTGTGTGCGTGTGTATTTATATGGTGGGGGGGCTCCAATGTTTGTATATGTTCATGGGGGGGGGCCCAAAGAAAAAGGTTGGGAACCACTGAATTACACCATTGAGGTTTAATTTAGCAGACTTTACATCAGACTTGTACATTTTAGTACAAGTAGTAGAGTAGTGAATAATAATACAGTATATTTATAGTACCCTACAATTACAGACACAGAACATTTATCAAACTCTGAATTATCTGTAAAGATGTTTTTCCATTCAGGCAGATATTTTAGGCAATATTACCGCATGGACTCTGTGTTTGAAAGGCCTTTACAGCCGGTACTGACTGACAGATTAAAAACTCAAAGTAGCTATCATAAATCCAGACATGCTAAAAAACCATCTGTATTTTTGTGGTTCTTCTGAACTTTAACCACAAAGTCCTAAAATCCCTTAGCCGTAACTGGACCAACAAAGAAAGAGCACAACATTCTGGCTAACTGATACTGTATGATTCATTATTAGAGAATTCATAAGTAAACCCCAGCAGAAATGCTTTTTTTCCAGAGTAAATAAACCTTTTGCTTAAGCAATATTGTTCAAGACTAATGAAAAGTTCAACTAAAACAGTTACATACACTGCAAAAAAAAAGCTTTTCTTACTTAGAGTTTTTGTCTTGTTTCTAGTCCAAATATCTAAAAATTCCTAAATCGAAAAACATTTTCTAGACAAGCAAAAACTACTGTCTTGAAGGGCTGCGCGATTAATTGAAAAAGATTGCAATCTGGAATCGACCCCCCTATGCGATCTTAATCCAGCATCTCAGGCAATTATATTTTCAAGTTGGGGGTGAAGCATGAAGGAGTCGCACCAGTCTTCACATTGTTTTACATACGCTGTTCAGCAACGTGGACACCTCCAAATGTTGTTGTAAGAGTCACATACTCTATTTATACGTTATAATTCACCTAAAAATATATAATTTTTGTCTAAATGTAATGATGTATTTGCGGCTGCAAAATGAAACAGGAGCTGGCACTGTTTGCTTACTACTGAGAGGATAAATTCAGAGCGACCGTTTAAGAGCTGCGCAATACAATACAATTAAGGCAATTCTGTGCTTACCATGTAAACAGCGATTTTTGATAAATTTAATCAGATTAAAGTCATAATCGAACTAAACAGAAATCAATTAAAACATATGGAGTATGCCAATTTTAGTCGCATTATTTTAGTGCAGTACAGTCATGTAAACACCTTAATCAAACTATTACTGTCATGTAGGACTTTTCGCCAAGTTTTACAAAAGGATAGTCCATACAAACATGGCTGTTTGACACTATTCTCTGCACCTACAAAGTCATTAAAGTATATAATTAAAATCATAATTAAATTACAGGTTTTAAATTCTGTTTGTTAACTAGGCATATAATGATAACCGTTTTCAAGATATATCGCGGTTTGGAAAACTGGTTTTAAAACTGGCAAAATACAATATATAAGATTTTTTATTGTTTTTTTGTTTGCTTTTTAGGACAACAGCATTTACAGCAGAAAAGATATCCAAGGATGGCATTCTAAATAGTAAATAAATCTGTGCTTTCGAAACTAATAAAGACAGCAAAAGTAAATGGCTGCGTCTGAAATTGCTCACTATTTAGCATTTGAATTTAAATGTACTACTCAGTCATTAGAGAAGTACGTTATATACAGTATGAATGCGAGTAATATGAAAGGAACTTTGATATACTCTGCCATTTTGTTATGATCATGTGACCTACCCGCATCAGCTGAGTCGCTTCACTCCCATTCATGAATTCTATAGCTGTGCATCATGGGATAGTGTAGCGTGCATTGAATGCGCAATTCAGAATCTCACCTGAAGTAGTAGGTCATCCGGGTACTTCCCACATACAGTTTTTTTTTTTCATTTCTATGAATTCTGTTTTTAGCGTACTATATAGAATTGAAGTATGCGATTTCGTACGCAGCTAAGGATTCATTTGAATTATTTTGCCTGACATGTTTACAGCTCCAAAATATTTTAAATATTTTTCAACATAAAATATATTGTTCATACGGATAAAAGTTTTAGTTTTTTTACCCAGACCTTTCAAAAGCACATATTTTAGAGCAGTAACCACAATACAGTTAAACCGTTATATTTTAATCCAAGGTTATCATACCGTCAGAATCTTATACCGGCGCATGCCTAGGTAAAACCAAAAGTTTCTTGCAGTACTGTTTTTTAATAAATGGAAAGCAAATTACATGCATCTTCTCTCCTTTTTGGTCTGATCGGTGACTAAAAAACTATAATGTGATCTGAACCGTGAGATTTGTAATCCGTTACACCACTACAATGGAGTAAGCAAAATAATCTCATGTCATAAGGAAAAACTAGATTATTTTACTAGCTTTAAGGAAAAACTAACTAAGTTTTGACATATTATTTCTCAAAACAAGATAATATGCTTTGCTTGCCCACAAAATACTTCTTCATTTAAGAATGTTTAAGATATTTGGACTACAAACAAGACAAAAACTTTAAGTAAGAAAAGCCATTTTTACAGTGTGTGTCAGGAAAAGTTTATGAACTGGCACATCCTTCCCTACTCTCCGTCCACAGTATGGAAATTTAACAGCCTCACACTTTAATAAAGTAGTCTCTCACTGACTTGAGACTTCTTTAAGATTACTCGTCTTAAAAGATAGCAGAAGCCTGCTAAAAACAACAACCTGGTCAACTAGAAGATGATGAGAAATGAGAAACAGTTTGGGCTCGACGTCAACAAAGCACAGAGGGCAACACCAAAGGGGTCCCAACATTAACATTTGCACTCTTATTTCATGAGATGGCTCAAGTTCCTTGCCAAACAGACACACTGTGTAGATACAAACAAAGCAAGACTCTCACAGGAGCGCAAGGACCATAAATGGTGTGAAAACGGAAGGTCAGAATGTAAGGATTAAACTGGTTCCAATCCAAACGTAAAAAAATCCATTAGGACAAGTTGTCGATATCATTCATACCAAAGTAAAAAGCATTTTCTTTCAATAAAAAGTCCAAACACACTTATTATACACCCTGGGAGGCTGGACTTTAAGAATAAACAGTCTTAAATGGCAACCTCTGTGAAAAGAAATGATAAACAAAACAGTCTCTTCTCTAAACTTGCAAAAGACTCTGGATGAAACCCAATGGTAAACAACATGTTCTCTCAGCGGTCTTGGAATACCAGCCAGTAGTGATGAGTAGGGTCTTGTTGGACATGTCATGAGACCATCAGATAGAAGAGCTTTTAAAGAGACTCTAATTGAGCGGGGTTCATCTGAGAAGCTATTATAGAGAGCACCACAGAAACCTAGCAATAAAAAAGAAACCTCAAGTGAAGTGTGTTTTCATTTCAACGTGAACAATCTCACTACAAAGCATTTTATATGCCACTACAATTCAAACTCAAGCAGGATTATGAAAATCACAATGATAAAACCACAAGAAAATTGACTGCAACTTACTTTTTATTCCCAAAGCAGCTGTAAAATCGAGCCATAGTATCAAAAGTTCAGTGCATCCTTGTGTATTTGTCCAAAAGTGAAGCTTTACACCAGGTTTGTCAAATTAACAACATCTCTTTCCTCATATCTTTACATGGAGCGTTCATAAAAGAAGAGGCTTGAGAGAGTGTGTATCCCTCATGTGTGCTCCTGCTGCCTGTCTCTCAGGACTGAGCACGCTCTGTCTTCTTTCTCTTGGATTCCCCCTCCCGTCCCGTCCCTCTTCAACCCCCGTCACCTAATCCTCAGAATCAGCTACTATTGTCTCAGCCTGACAGCTTACTACCGACAGGCCAGGCGTCATTTGATAATCAGATGGGGCAACTCCCTAAGGAGATCCCACCTTCGTGTCTGAGAGAAGGGGGCTCATTCTGGGTTGGAAAGCTGACGGCCAACACAGTTTAAATAAATCATCAGCAACTTTTTAGTCAGTCAGTAGAAACTTAATGCTCAATGTGGCTTAGCTTGAAGGTATAGTTCATTAAAAAAGGAAAAAAATGAGTTTAAACAACAACAACAACAACAACAACAACAATAATAATAATAATAATAATAATAATAATAATAATAATAATAATAATAATAATAATAATAATAATAATAATAATAATAATAATAAGGGGTTAATAAATGAGTACACCCCTTTTGAAAATTCATTTATAGCCAATACATTTTGGTGCATTTAAACAAAACCATTTTATTAAACAGTTACAGTTGAATTCAAAATTATTAGCCCCCATTAGATTTGTTTTCTTTTTCTTTTTTAAATATTTTCCAAATGATGTTTAACAGAGCAAAGAAATGTTCACAGTATGTCTTATATTATTTTTTTCTTCTAGAGCAAGTCTTATTTGTTTTATTTCTGCTAGAAGCTGTTTTTAATTTTTTAAAAACATTGTAATGTCAAAATTAATAGCCCATTTAAGCTATATTTTTTCAATAGTCTACAGAATAAACCATTGTTATACAATATTTGCCTAATTACTTTGGCCTGCCTAGTTAGCCTAATTAACCTAGCTAAGCCTTTAAATGTCACTTTAAGCTGTTCATCATGTTAAAGATAAAATAAATCAGTTATTAGAAATGAGTTATTAAATAAATCTATAATGTTGAGAAATGTGTTGAAATATACTTTCTATTAAACTGAAATTGGGGAAAAAATAAACAGGGGGCCAATAATTCTGACTTCTAATAAAATAATTTTTAAAATAATAATAAAGTTAATGATAACTAATAAAAAATAATAAATAAATAAATAAATAAAAATAACAAAAATGCACATTAAAAACATCAAATTCTATTACAAATTACATTAAATTATATTATCGTACAATTTTCTTTTGTTCATATCCATTAAAATAAGAGTTTGGTAAACTAAAATCTTTAGGAATAGAAAGATAATACATTTAAATTCAAACGATACATTTTCAATAAAATTTGATATATTGATTTCTTTTATTTTTTCCTGTTTATTAAAATATTTAATTAATTACTATTTTCCTCGTAAACATATACATTTGTTTACTAATATTTGCACTCTGATCATTTATTTTTTTAGATTATTTCAAGTTCTGGCTTTGGTACTGACTAATGTATGTATGTAATGTATGCACAAATATATTATTGTATAGTATACTACAGAAAATATTTATTTAAAAGAGAGATCTGTGAGGGGTGTACTCATTTATGCAGAGCACTGTCATTTACTCACCATAAGTTATAGGACTCCGGTGACTGTTTATCTTTACTACTTTTTAATCTTAATATAAAACCATTATTTAAACATTTACTTATTGTAATGAGAACTTACCACCATTTACTAAACCTTGTGTGGTTTCAAAAGTTGATGCATTAAGCTTTTTTCCTATTGAACACAAAAGAAGATATTCTGAAGAATGTGGAAACCGGTAACCATTGGCATTCATAATAAGAAACAAATACTAGTCAATCCCAACATTCTTCATCTTCATTTGTGTTCAACAGAGAAAGTAAATACAAACAGGTTTGAAACCAGCGGAGGGCGAGTAATTGAAGACAGAATTACTTTTTTTGGGTCAACTATCTCCTCAAGTGTAAAAAAAGATGCTATTTTTTGATTAAAACATTTTTATTGTCACGCGGCATGTGGTTCAGTGGTTAGCACTGTCACCTCACAGCAAGAAGGTCGCTGGTTCGAGTCCTGGCTGGGGCAGTTGGCATTTCTGTATGGAGTTTGCATGTTCTCCTCGTGTTCACACGTGTTTCCTCCGGGTGCTCCAGTTTCCCTCACAGTCCAAAAACATGTGTTAGGCCCACACGGAATCTGCATGCGCAGAAAACTGCAGATTTTAGCCCATCGAGTCTATTTATTTACTTGTGTAAATGTGTGTAAATTTATATTTATTCCTTTTTTAAATTAATTTCAGTAATAATAATGACTAATACGAAAATGTTCATTTTATTTATTTATAATACAGTTTGGCAAGTAATATTTTTTTTCTTTAGTAGATTATTAATTAATTAATTTATTTATTTATTTATTATTTATAATTCATATTGAATGAGAAACTTGATTTGTTTACCAAATAAGTAGATCTAGATGAATTTGCATTGTAAACAATAAATAAAAGTTAAAAATTTGTTATTTCATATATTAAGTTTTTAGTTACGATACTACCAAAATCAATTCGCTTACATTCGCAGATGTTTTACAAAAATTTCTACAGAAATAGCAAAAAAATGTCCTGGCCTAAAAATGGCCTATAGTTATAAGTGAATAGAATACTAAATTAACTACGGCAGTCAATTGTGTGTAGTGTATGAGTCTGAGTGTAAATGAGAGTTTCCCAGTACTGGGTTGCGGCTAGAAGTATCCGCTTTGTAATATGCTGGAATAATTGGTGGTTTATTCCACTGTGGCGACTAATAGAGACTAAGCTAAAGGAAAATGAATGAATAAATTATTATTGTCACTTTTTGAAAAAAGCTTTTAAGGCTACATTCTTAGGAAACTTACAAATGACATTTTGTGTTTTAAAGCTGAAAATGTCTTTAAAATGTTTGTAAACAAAAACAAACAAAAACAATTGTCAATAAAGCAGGCTGCTCCAATTATTTTGCAGAATGTTCACATGTTTATATTGTTTCACATGTTCTTAAAAACATAACAACATAAAAATAAGCATATTAAGAAGAATGGGTAAACGTGGTTTCTTTTTTTAATGAGAAATAAGAGCCCTGCCAGGCACACATATACGGTGTGCTATTTGATGTAATAGCCACAAAATCTATGAGTTAATACCCAAAGTAGCTTTTTAGTTTTCAAAAATATTGACAACATAGAACTGGCCTTGCTAAAGTGAACGAAGAACAACATGTTGTTGGCTCATGCACATTTAAATAAAAACAAACCAAAGAAACTTGTTTACATTAGGAAAATGCTGACACTTAAAAGCCCATTTCAGTTTCCAGGCTTCCATTGACTTAGATTTAGCATATCTAAGGTCAACTCTAACGGAAGTGACTGAACATTCCAGTGACAGGACATTTGTCATTAACCCTGCTTTCTTTAGAAAATGTGTTGTGCACACAACCTCAAACCATAAGTCTTTACTACATACAAACGTTTCGCCTTCCTACAAGTTTTGAATATTTTCCTTCCCACTCAGTCAAATTGTGTAGGAGTATCCGGCAAAAGTGTAAACAAAGCTTTAGCCCAGTCGGTTCTTCTTCTTAAACACAAACAATGGTAAATGTTGAATTACGAAATAAGTATTTCTTCTGGTCAAGAGCGGTGAAGAGATTCTTCCTTCACACTAAATTGCACAGACATCAGACAAGTTCAAGCTAGCTGTCAAACCCCCTTATTTTTACCTCACACATATGGCGAACAGAACCTCTATAGAGTTGCACTATGTCCTACAGTCCTCCTCAAAAACTGTGTGGAATGTCAGTCAGTTTTCCTTAAGGAAAAAAGCCAGGTTGGTATTTCCTGAGACGTTCTTGCTCTGCGGCTGAAGAAACGCATATGTATTTCTTTTCAGCCATATAGTTTTTTACGACAGACATAATAATTGTATTATTAAGTCATTATAAAGCATTTGGTTGTTGGATAATCAGAAAATGATAACAACTTTCATTATTTGTGCTTAGTTTGTGCTTAGTTTGTAAGCAGCAGTTTGGCAAGTTACTTTTCATATTTTTTTCTATACCATGTTTTTTATGGTCAATGTTGTTAAAATACATTGTACAATTTTAAAACTTATTTGTTTCTATTTACAAATATAGAGCCAGTTGAAGCAGAGATGCCCAAATGAGCCCAAAATTGGCCCATGGTAACCTTTGATTTGGCCCACAATCCTATCTGAAAAAAGAGGGAGAATGATGGGGATGGTTTAGAGATTGTCATTTAAAATTTAATTCATTCATTCATTTACTTGTCGGCTTAGTCCCTTTATTAATCCAGGGTCGTCACAGCAGAATGAACCGCCAACTTATCCAGCACGTTTTTACGCAGCGGATGCTCTTCCAGACGCAACCCATCTCTGGGAAACATCCACACACTCATTCATACACACACTCATACACTACGGACAATTTAGCCTACCCAATTCACCTGTACCACATGTCTTTAGACCATGGGGGAAACCGGAGCACCCGGAGGAAGCCCACACGAACGCAGGGAGAACATGCAAACTCCACACAGAAACGCCAACTGAGCCAATCCGAGCCTTGAACCAGCGACCTTCTTGCTGTGAGGCGATGTGCCATTTCAAATTTAATGTAACCTTTTATTTGTTTGTTATATTGTAAAGCTAATTAAACTAAATGTTGAATTGCTATAATTCAGTTTAAAATGTATATTCTGTCACCCAACAGTTAGAGGACAATCAGAGACTTTGAGCAAATCAAGGCAAAATCAGATTCTCCTTGACTTGTGTATTCAGCATTAAAATCCATTGTGTTTGAAAATTGATTGTTTATGTTTTTTTTGCAATAAGTTATTATGTAAAAAGTTCATTAGCTTAGTCCCTTTATTAATCTGGGGTCGCCACCACAGAATGAACCACCAACTTATCCACCACCTTCCAGCCAAAACCCATCTCTGGGAAACATGTAAAAATTTATACAACATTATTTAATATGATTCAAAGTTATGTTTCTTTTTATTTTTAAACAATATTATGGCAATAA